ATCTCAAGTTAAGAGAGAAAGCTAAAAGGGAAGCAGGACTATCGAAGAAAAGGAGGAGGGAATGCGAGCATCTGGGTCCTCGGCAGGCCTAAGGGGGCCCCTGCTGCAAATGTGCCCGCCCTAAGTGAAGGCAGGCCTAACAAATCCCGAGAGCCCCTAAGCTGTCAAATTCGTATTTGGGGTCCAGGCAGTTTCGTCGCGCCAGTTGTTTGAGGAAAACACAGGCCGAGCAACAAGGAAATTCCACGGCCTTCTAGGCTTTTCCGAAAGTGCAGGCCCTGGGTGAGATTCACAGCCTCATACACAGACAGTTGGGAGGCCCAACTAAATGAGGCCCAGTAGCTACACCAGAGGCGCGGCCTCGTGGGGCCTACCGGGAGGTCATTCAGGCACTCGCATGCTAGCGGCAGCGCTGCTGGAGCGGACGCTCGTGGGCTGCTGCTGGCGCTGAGAGGCGAGGTGCAAGCATGTGGGGTCGTGCAGGGAACAAGGCGTTGCCGAGGGCAGCGCCATAGCCCAGCCTCCATACCTGGTTGAGGGCAGCGCCATAGCCCAGCCTCCATAGCTGGCTGACGGCAGCGCCATAGCCCAGCCTCCATAGCTGGCTGAGGGCTTGGCTGTACAGTGAGGCGCAGGGGTAGTCTTCAGGTGTACAAAGGGAAGACGTGGGGAGGAAGAGAAGGGAGAGAGAGAGAGAAGGATGATGACGATAATGATGTGAGGGCACATACCTGGTATTGGCGATGGTCTGCATGGGCGGCGTCTTATTTCGGAGGTTGCTGACGTCAACAGTTGCATTGTCAATTAGTAGGCTAGTAGTAGCTGTGTAGGGAGTAGGTTGGGCGCCAAGTAGGGAGATAGGGACTGGATACATATGTTGGTGGTGGCGAGAGAAAGCTCTCATTGACATTGGTTTTCAGTGCTACAATTCTCCATTGGTGTCATATTGGTGCAATGCTGCTTTCTGAACACTGTGATACGATCTGGCTTTCAATGTGATTGTGCAATCTGATTATTGTCATCTCGCTATTGCTCATTTTCCTTGCACTATGGTCTTGTCTAAATATTGGAGCACACCGACTGTTCTTCCCTAGATTTCTCAAACACTTCCATATACATGGGAGAGGACGGGTCGGAGGCCTGTTTCAAGCATGTGCTTCTCCGTTTTCAGTGGTTGCCAGTTTCCTTGATATTCTTGCGGCTCGATGGATGCAAGGTCCGGTAGGGGTCAACCAGATTGTAATCCATAATCAGTTTCTGGACTGGAGCTGCCTCCTGTGATGTATGAGATGATGCCGCTCTAGAGATACGGTCGTAGACCGGGTCTAAAGTGGCATTCCAGTCTCCAGCGAGAATGCACGCTGATAGAGGTGGGATTAGGTTGCCTAACAAGTGGATGAAAATTCATCTGCAGTTAGGCGCATTAGGGGCATAGATATTAATCAGCCTAAAGTCTTCTTCTTTCCATTTCAGGTGCATAAGGCACCATCTCCCATTCTCTTCATCCGCTACTGTTAGTGACTGCCCCCGCTGCCCTGCAGACATCTACAGAATTAAACCACCGGTACTTCGCCCAGCTCTGTAGTCCTAGCCTCAGCCGACCAGTATGATAATCCCTGTCAAGACTGGAGCTACCGAGCTTTCACTGGCCCGACCTTTGTTTAAGAGAAAAACAAAATAAAAATTCAGAGAAAAACTAGGCTACCAGCTGGGCCGTCCGGGTTACCTTGTTTGTCCGGGCGACTAGGTCGTGAACCAAAGGAGGTTCCAGAAAAAAACAAAATCAAAAAAATCTGGGAAAAAAACTATATTATGCAGAAAAATAAACTGAACAACTTTTGCCTCAGGGTCACATCGAAATTCCTTACCAAATTTTAAATAAGAAACAAAGTTATAACCACCAACGACCGGTAAGAAGAAGCAAGTGCAAGGGAAATGAGCAATAACGAAATGACAGAGGTCGATCATTGTCCAGAAAGCAGAAATGCATTGTCAATGAAAGCATGTTCTCACCATCACCACAAATGCGATCGAAGCTCTTCACCCTATTGGTTCTCAGCGCCCAGACAACTTCCTACAGCTACTATCCTAAACTTCAAAATGACGGTGCAACCCGTTGGCGTCAGCGGCAGCGACCAAAGTACAAGCAGATGTCGACCTTGTAGCCTTCGCCAAGACCAGGTACATGCCCTCACATCATCATCCTCATCTCCCCCTCATCGCTCGCCCTTGTCTTCTTCATCCACGTCTTCCCTCATACACGAAGACCACCACCGACCCCGCTGACCTTCGTCCAAGCCAAGCCCGACTATGGAGGGCTTGGCTCTGGCACTGCCCTTAGCAGGGCCCTTCTTCCTCTCACGTTTGCACACACATACGAGCACCACCGCCAGCGCCAGCAAGCAGCCAGTGAGTGCACGCTCCAGCAGCGTTGCCGCTTGCACAGCAAGTGCCCGAATGCGAAACGCGGAGCCCGGCCCTTTTCTATATGGAAAGTGGCGGGCTCGTTGCCACTTGCTTGGCCCGTGAGACCAAGTTTCCACGGCCAAAATGTATGCGCCCAGGCCCGTTCAAACAGTGGCTTGGGACCAAATTGATTAGCCCGTTCAGACAGTGGCCTGAGACCGAATTGGTTAGGCAAGCCCATCACTCAGGCACAAACGTGTGGTGTACTTTCACCACGTTGCCGGAAGAGCCTGGAAGGCTCACAAATATTTTGGATTCTCTCGAGCAAAGCGGATATAACCAACTGGTAGCAACTGTCTGGCGCCCAACAAGATCTCCAAAATTGACGAATTTAGGGTTCATTGCGATTCAGGGGCCCGCCTTCACTTAGGGAGGGCACACATTTGCTGCTGGGGGCCGTATGCTGGTATGTTGAGGGGTTAATCCTCGCACTCCCTCCTCCTTTACTTCGATAATCCCCTGAGAAGTCCTTATACAGCAGGCTGCTTCCCTTTCAAATTTCTTTCATAAATTGCGATAATCTGGGGAGCAGTCTTCATTAACTCTTCATTAACTCTTCTCTTCAACCAGGACCTGCAGGAATAGGGAAGGGCTTGAGTAGCCTGCGTCCGGGCTTTCTCACGCTGACAAACCTGTCTCTACACACTTCTTTGCATCTTCCATTATCGTGGGCCACCAGAATTTCTCCAATAGATTTGCTGGTCACAAGAGCATTCATGAAGTCCATGGACAGACTTTGACCACGACCTGCCGAAATAGGCAAGGGCTTGAGTAGCCCAAGTGGTGCCTGCGCCCGAGGTTTGTCACACTGACAAACTTGGCATGTCTTTGCATACTTCTTTGCATCTTCCATCATCGTGGGCCACCAGAATTTCTGCATTAGATTTGCTGCTGTCTTTTCGTAGCCAAAATTTCGGGTCGCGTTGTGACACTCGCCTAAAAATAAACTACGCAAAGACTCTCTACATGGAACACACAAACGTTTATTCCCAGCCTTCTCAAGGAGCAACAAGCCATCAACCAGCACAAACTCATTGGATGTGGTCTTATCATTGGCAGCAAATTTGTGTATGATCTCTAACATGATGAGGTCCTCTTGATAGGCTTCCACCATAGATCGAGTTACATCCTCAGCTATCCCAAACCCAGATAGTCTGCCCTGCGTGATAGTGCATCAGCCACCTTGTTGTATTCTCTCCTCAGAGGGTCGAGCTCGAAGTCATACATATCTACGACTTCAATCCACCTCTTGAGTGCATTGGAGAGTACGGGCTGTGTCTTTATCCAGCGCAGAGACTCATGGTCAGATCTCGCATAGAAGAATCTGCCTAGGAGGTAATGCCTCCAGCGAACCGGCGCTCTATAGAAGGCATAGAGTTCTCGCTCATAGGTAGACTTAGCTAGTTTTTGAGATGGCATCTTTTTGCTCATGTACTCGACCGACCTAAACTTTTTTCCCTCCTCCTAGGCAAGGACCGTGCCTATGCCATATTGGCTGGCGTGAGCGGTCACAATGAAAAGCAGCTTGGGATCCATAAGCTTGAGGACTTATAGTGCACGAGGGCATACTTCAATCTTTTGAAGGCTGCTTCACATTCATCAGTCCACTCCCATGGTGTGTCAAGGCGTGTGCAATCCGTTAGTGGGGAGGCTATAGTACTATAGTTTTTCACAAACAGACGATAGTAGTCCATCATCCCTATAAAGGACCTGACCTCAGTCACAGACTGAGGTCCACTTTGGCATCATCCGGCGTCAGACCATCTGCTGAAATTTCACGACCCAAGTACAAGATCTTGGTGCGACCAAATTCGCATTTCTCCAAGTTAATCTTGTACTGATGTTGTCTTAGGAGCCCTAGCACTATCTCGATGTGCTCAACATGCTCCTCTACAGCCCTACTAAAGATAAGAATATCGTCCAGGTACACGAGGATAAACTTGTCGCAGTAGTCGTAAAAAAATACAATTCATCGCGTGTTGGAACGTCCCAGGAGCATCGCATAGACCGAAGGGCATCAACACAAACTCATACAGACCGTACCCGGGAAACCGGTTTTGTGCTGATCCTCAGGCCTAATGGCAATCTGATGGTATCCGTACCTCAAATCTATCTTGGTGAAGTATCGGCATCCCTACACTCAATCCAAGAGGTCGTCGATGCGAGATAGGGGCTCTGCGTTTTTAACAGTGATGGCATTGAGGCCCCTATAATCAATGCACATCCTTAGGTTACCCCCCTTCTTTGGGACAAATAGAACAAGCGAACCGTAAGTGGAGGTACTAGGCCGGATTCCGCCTTTCTCTTTGAGCTCCTTGATCTGTTGGCGGAGCTCATCTAACTCCACAGGAGACATCCTATATATCCGTCCCCTACGTACCTTGCTACTAGGAATGACTTCAATAGCATGGACAATCTCTCTCTCGACTACGCCCCTAGGCTCCTTGAAAAGGTCTGGGTACTGAGCAACGACTGCTTCTATCTTTGGGGGTGTTTTAACGACTTTCCCTTTCTCAAAGACAAAAACTAGGTACATACCCTCCTTGCAGTTCTGCTTGTAGTAATTATAGAAGGCGAATGCGCACATGCAGCCATAGTTCTCCACTAGCCTGCTAGCCTTGTACTTCTGCAAACTAACAGTCCTTCCATTTGGCAACTTGTACATCATCACCTTTCTATTCCAATCAAACTGGGGCTGAGCAACCTCCAGGTAGTACTTTCCTAGTAACATATCAAATGGAAGCTCGTCGCTAACCAGGAAGCAGATCTCGTGTCTCACTTCCCCTCCTCTATAGGAGAAGGTGCAGACTGTCCTTGACACAGTCTTTAACTACCATGGACTGCCTTTTAGCTAAGGTAGATGCTACAAACCTGCTAAGCCGCTGCACTTGGTCCCCTAAGCGCAACCTATCCACACAAACACGAGTGATGAAATTTCACGTAGAACCTATGTCTGCGTAGGCACCAACCTTGTGACCACCTACATCGACTTATACCACGAAATGTTTACCTCTAGGACCTCCAACCATCATCGCCCATGAGTCTCTAGGATCTTTTCCTAACCACTCACTTTTTAACTCCTCTAAGGACTCGGACACATCCATCGAATAGAGCACTAATTGGTTCTAATTTGTTTGCGGGGGGATCAAGGGGTCAATAGCCTTGGCCATCGTTTGAAATGGAGAGGGTAAGGTAACCACTTCAGCACAAGTAAGGGCAGCTAACACTCCTACTGCCCTGAGGTGTTTCCCTGGGAAGTGCTCACAGAAGCACCACCTAATTCCCCGAGGTGGTTCCCTGGGAAGTGCTCGCAGAAGCACCACCAGAGTTAGAAGATCCAACTGTCACTATCGAGGATGTTACCTTCCCAATGACCCGCTTACTCTTGCACTTGCTCATTGTGTGCCCATGCTGGCCACAATTGAGATAAGCGCCTCGTGCAACACGGTCTCGCCACTCCTTGTACAAGTTTCACCCATATGGGTGGACCTTGTTCCTGTTGTCCCTTAGGCCGACCTACCTTTTGTTTCATAGCCCCCTTAGCCTTTTCCCTAATGGGAGGAACCACTCCACCCTCTGAAGTCTTTGGACCCCTGTCTATCTCTGTCTCCTCCCCAAGATCCGAAAAATCCTCAACCTCTGTTGCGTTGCCATCATGGTCAACGAACATGAGGTTCCCCTTCTTTCGCGAATCCTGAGGAAGCTTCTTCTTCCTCCCATTTGTCGATGCCTGCTGTGCAGTCCCAAGTCTAGCCTCCAAGTCTAAAGCCTTTTTGCTAAATAAGGCGCAGTCATGCATGTCTATGGAGGCCTCATCGACCGACTTATTCTCGACACCTGTGGGTGGACACTGAAGATAAGTTGTCAAGAGGACCTGTGGATCATATCACACGCCAAGGACGACGATCTGGCGCTCTACGGCGTCGGTCACGTTGCAAACTATCCGGTTCCTCTTTGATCCTGAAGTAGCTAGTGAGTCGGTAGCCTTTGTGCCCCCTGAGGGTCAAACCACCTGTCGTGAACCAAACGCACCAACTCCTCCAATGTCCGAGCCTGCGCCCAGCCATCAAAGTTTTGACCGTACGCATTCTGCTGTACCAATCCATTGAATCATTTGGTTGTTGACCCTTCTAAAAAGGATGCAGCTACAATGACCTCTTGATTGAGACGAGTTAGCTTGTGCCGCACATAGGTGGGCACAGTCCTCACCCGAGTATCTAGATCCTCTTCTTTTCTCTTGTCGCCAGAGAAGGTTTAGGAACCAGCAATGGAACCTTGGGTGTCCACTGCACCGAAGGCCTGGCCCCTCTGCCTACTGCACTGGCTGGGATATCGGTGGGACACACTGTTGCGCTGATTGCAGCACCTGCTGCTGTTGTTGCAAAGCCTGTTGCAAAGGTGGCTGGACTTGCGGCTGCCCTGTAGCTACAGCCACCGGTCGACGAACAAAAGAAGCCACCGGTCGGCGAACAAAAGAAGCCTGTCCCGAAGCCTGCCCACTGCCACCTGCTTGTAAACCGCGTGCAGGAACAATACCAAACTGCGGGACGAAAGGACCACTAACCGGTGGCAGCGTCACTAAGTGATCTGCTACCGCAGCGGCAGCTGCCATTTGCAGGCCTGGGCGCCCTTAGGGCTGCCATTATCTGATTTTGATCAGCTATGAGGGTGGCCAGCATTTCTTGCTGCACAGCCTGTACCTCGGCCACACTCAAAAGATTTGACCGAAGGGTAACTGTTCTAGCTCCCTACCCCTTGCCTCTAGTCTAGCTTTCCTCGTTCTGGCTCTCTCTCTTCTTCCCTCGACCTCCCGTAACTGGCGCTGTAACTCTGCGTGAGGTGCATCCCATTGTTGAATCTCGTAATCCTCGTTTTACATGGGTTGTTGTTGGCTGACCCACAAGCCAGCAATCTGACTCATGGATGACCTTGACATACCCGGACAAGCACCTGACAAAGAGCCTGAGAAGAGGCCTGTGACATAGCAGAGCGGTAGCCATGGCTGCCTTTGCGCTGGCTCTAGCTTCTGCTGCTGTGGCTGCTGCAAGTGACCTCTCGTCGTTGGCTGCTGCTTCCCTAGCCCTCTGCAATATGCCCCTCTTTCTAGCTTCTCTCCGCAGTCTCATTTCCTCTCGCTGGTCTGATCCCAAGAAGGTAATCGGCCGACTAAGTGCTTGTCTACGGGTAAGTCTTCTAGCCTCCTGGTCTAGTCCTTCATCCGCACTGTCCTCATCACTCATGAGCTACGCGTGGTATACACTCTGCACTAGGGTCCTTGCTGGACCTAACGATGCTTAAAAATAAATAAATAAAATTAATTGTTTGGTCTAGATGTAACAGGAAGTAGTTAAGCGGTAACAGCGGATAAGCTCAAATCCTTACAATCAAATTTATTCCTACTTTCGATTAGTCTGACACGGACTGCAGTGCAACAAGAGATATTAACTACTCTAGCTGCAGCTGTCTATCAGTTGTCGGCAAGTCCGTAACAAATGACTAATCAAGAATAAAAATAAATTTATTTGCTGGAATGGATGCTGCAATGGAAATACAACAATGATTAATAATATAGCAGATTACTGAAACCTTCCCTCCCCTTATCTCTTTTGAGTTGTCACCTTGTGTCGATGTCCCGAAAGCATCCGGTCGGGCAGCATGTCTAAAGGTGTGCAATCAGCGCACCCCTGTGTGTGATGCGCAACCTCACCCTCCACGCGACGTCCAGTGGCGATAGACGCCGATCAGAGTACTTGGGGGCATGGCCGACGATTTTTGGTCGGGGGTTGAATCACTTGGACGGAACAGGGGATTCTTGCTTCGTTCCGAGGATATTCCCAGAGTTCAGGCCGATGTAGGGGACAAAAAGGAAATATGAGGGAATTCGAGGGGTTAAACCAAGGTCGACGCGCGGGGTATAATTCAAAATTCCGTTTTGTCAAGGAGGCGGGGAGCGGCGTGCGACTACGCGGACGACTGACGACCCGAAAGAAAAAGAAAAGGGAGGAGGGAAGAGCAAAATATACCACTTCTCTCGCGCTAGGTTCACACTAGCTCTATGGCAGGAACCCCAAATATAAGGAGCATCTAGGCTTCCGAGTCGGATTCATCGAGTCCACGAGGTCGGCTAGGTGTGACGTCGCCCGATCAGGACAAGGCCGGGGGGACCCAAGTTCGGAAGCTCGTCGGAAAGGCGCCGGCACTACGGGAGAGTTTTGGGAACCTAGTCGCGCCTTCGTACCCCAAAACCAGCCTCCGCCAGGAACACGAGTCTCCCCACCGGCACCAGCGACAATTAAACTAGGGTCGGCACGTGGCGTAGGCCGTCGACCAAGGCAGCACCGTCGAATCAATGTAAGGCAAGATCAGGGGCGGGGAGGAGAACCGATCAATCAAAACAAACCCACTCCCCCCTACATGACAAGCCTTGGACAGGTTGTGGAAGTGAACCCGGTTAATTCGCAATAGCGCGCTCCGCACGTCTGCATCGCAATACACACTGTCTTCGTTTGAGATCGGGAAGGGCAGAAGGGCGTTGTGGCGGATCGACGAGAGGGTTGAGCACAGGCAGTTACCCGCACTCACGTTTAATGAGGTGAATCTCGACTCCATACAAATCTTAATGGGTCGCGCCCCACTTGCTCCTCCTTAATCAAAATGCGAGTCCGGGGACACAACGTCATGTAGCGGAGAGATCGGGCATCACGTGATGACGCATGCGACCGGTCTCCCTGGTTGCCGGCAACCAGCCTAATGGAACACAAGACCAACTAATGCGTGGCACTCGCGCGCGGGAGAGGAGAGAGGGAAAAGTCGGCAACGATCCCCACGTTCACACGTGGCACCGGGATCGGCAAGGGTCGGGGAAAAGAGTGAAATCCACACACTCGCTCATTAAGGCAGACATTTGATGCCCCCGTGCTCCCCATAGTAGCGCCCGCCGGCGCCTCACACACATGACCTTATTCCACATCTATACATCCATCTATCTCGGACAGCGAGACATTCAACATCCATAGACCCTTATAACCAACCTCATGCATGCCACTGAGTATCCACACTTAGTATACTTCACACACCACACTTTGACAAAGCAACAATGGAGACAAAATCGAGTCCTTCGCTATTCAAAATCCCAACACGGCTGGCCTCCCTCAGGCACAGCCACCAACCAATCCGAACATCAACCAACCATAGCCACAAGGCCGGGCCGCTGGCTACGTCCGATCTCCACCACCGCTCAACCCCTCGGACTGCCTCACCTCGAGTCTATTGCTAATTCCACCCCACGTCCGCCCGTCACTTGGGCACGTTGAGTCTATTCGACGCCGCGGTCTTTGTGCATAGCTCGCGCAGCATTGCAGCCGAGATCAAATAGAGGGAGAGGAATGGGCTGCAAGAATTTATAGAGCGGAAGGCCGCGGGTGCCAAGCACATGGTGCGGGCAGCAAGGGGTGTAGATGAGAGGAAGGAGATTCCAGAAGGATCGAAAGAGGTGGGATGATCGATAGTTCCGTTTAATTGGGGTGGCCGTCCAAGCCACGCACACAATTCGTTCTCGCAGCATTGATCCGACCATCCCAACTAGACGACCAATCACTCGCGCCGATAGGTAAGGAGAGGATCGGGCACAAAGTTGGGGGAAGACGAGCGCCCTAGCAAGAAGGGAAGATGGAGCGTAGGTGCAGAGCGGGAAGCGAGAATTCAAAATGGTCACGCGCGCTTTAATACAAAGAAAATTTGAATGCCGACAACAATAATTCCTATCTGTTTTTCGTTTTTTTCCGTGCAG